GTAATGCTTCATACTTGTGCAGAGCCTTTCATACCAGTGGAAATCACCGGACACAGCAGCAGCAGTGAAAGTCACTGTCCTGGGGCAGGGCTTGGCAGACCAGAGAGCAGAGCAAATGATGGGTGAGGAAACAAAAAAAACCCTATTACCTTGAAGTTTCCCTGAAGAAACTTCAGGGCTCACTGTGACAGGAAATGTTCATTTGCGGTTCTTAAGCATGCAAAGAGGGAAGCACTGGCTTTGTCATTCCCTACTTGGGTGGTACTTCATCAGAAATCCCTGCCCAAAAGACCCTTTTCATTTTATTTACTGCTTACCACACTTTCATTCTGAGAAGGACGTGACAGTGCTGCTGCTCTTGTGAAAATGAAATGAGCAATATCAAATCAGATGTTCTGCAAACTACCCAGAGATGGGTCCAGATCTCTTGTGTGCGGGAAGCTCATAGGTTATCACGATGTGTTGTCGTACTGTCTGTTCAGAGGAATGGATGGAGCTGCTTAGCACAGTCATGTTCCTCATGGCAGTGCGAGGGTGGTGCCAGAGATGGAGGCAGCCTGTGTGGAGTCAGTAGGTGAGTTAGATAAAACCAAGCTGTATTCATTTCAACTAGTGGTGAGAACAGTCTCTTAAAACAGTACTGACCTCAGAGCTTATTTACCCCTGTCGTAGCCATTTTGGATGGTTTTCTTCAAGTGACAAAGAGAAGGCAAGCAGGGATGTTGCTAGCTGTGCAATTATGTCATCAAAAAGGAGCCAGCTGCAAGTTATGGCACTTGCAGCTATTGCCACCTGAATATCATCAAGATTGCAGTGCCTGAGACATGGTGTGTGCCTCAGGTCTGAGCTGCAAGGTTTCTGGGGAATGTGGGAGCTGTGTGTGCTTCGAAGGAAGGGATTTGGATGAGGTTTATAAGCATGTTCCTTTCCCTGTATCCTAAAGGCTTTATTGCAAAAAAAGCTTGCTAATTGTCTTCCACGAGCAGCAATTCACAGAAAGTGCTGTCCATGTGTAACACGGCTAAATCCAAACAGATTAAGAACACTTCACGAGTTTGTTAAAAGAAGGAGAGATGGCAGTGCCAGAGGTTCAAACACACACCTCTAAGTTACGCTACACTGAGCAGCCCAGTTTTCCTTTAGGCCTGCAGCAACGTGAGAGACGAATGGTGCTCCCTGCTTCATCCCCTTCATATCCCAGTGGGATTAAAAGCTGCAGCGTTGAAACTGCAGAAGTGAGCCTTGAGCATTCAGGAACCCATGTCTACCCTCGAACAGTGAGTTGTTTCTTCTGGGGGCAGCCCTCTCTCTAGATTTTTGAGCACCCAGTCTGAGTCCTGAGCATTTTCCTTGCTGTAGATAACTCCAAGCTCTTCTATCTTTCCTCTGGGTGTATCAGAGAGGGCCAGCACAAAGCGGGAGCGTGGCAGTGCTGCTGAGTGAGTATCATCTGCTCATTTAATCAGTCTTTGTTCCTTTCCCTGTCACCCCTCCAAATATCATACTACACAGTTTTGGAATGCAACGTCTCCGGAGCAGGGACTGAGATACCCCAGCAGCAGCGAGAGTTACCCACGCTTTCATTCTCAGGGTGGCTTCCGGGAGTTACTGCACTAGGGGGAACTTTTTTCAAATGCACTATCCTTCAGCCCCGTTTGCTTCTGAGCAAGTCCCAAATGTACACCTGTCACCTGCGTTGGCCTCTCTGGGGTCAACCCTTGCAACTAGAAGAGATGTCAGCGTTGCATGAACAGCTGGCTGGTAGGGTTTGGGCAACAGCTGTGCCTCCAGGTCATCTCCTCTTTAAGGGCAGAAAATCCTGAGCCTCTACAGTGCGAGCAGTAGTTCAGGGAGGTGTGTTACCCAGGAGGGGTGAGCAGAGCCATAAGCTCCCATACATGATCTCACCATTAGAGAGAGACAAAGACTTGTGCTGCATTATCGTGTGGTCGACTTTCACCACCTAATGAAAGCCTGAATTCCCATTGTCCCTACAAATTCCCCAAAGCTGATTCATCACTTGAATTAAACCATAATTATATATTATCAGCAGTCACTTTATAGTAAGGTTGAAGGATTAAATGCAGTTAGCGGTGATGAATTCCAGACGTGCAGGACAGAAGCCTGAAGAGAAGGCCAGCTTCTGAGTAACTACAAGATAGAGTGTAATGTATTCTAAATATTTGATTCAATTAAGCTTCCTTCTGCTCTTTGTTTCAGCTTACAGATGGCTCATCAATCTATAGTTTAGGGACACATTGCTATTCTTTCTAATGGTAATTATGTGATCAGGACGGAGACAGGTTTGATTAAATGCTCACACTATGCTCTGCATATTTAAGATGGAGCAGAGTTGGTCCAAAGTAGAGGTAAAACGCTAGCCTGCTGCATGTGGCTTCAGCCTCAGGAACTCAATAGGTCTTCCTCTAGCATAGGTGATGGGGACTTTGCCAGTTCCTGCCATTCAAGGAACAGTAGTTTTTTGAATTGATGAACCATGATCATTCAACTGGTTTTGAATGTTGCTAAACTGTTATTTGACTGTTGCTTGCAAAAATACTCATGGTGCTTGCCTGGTTTTGGCTCAGCTTTACTGAGAGGATTCTTGCAACTTGGAAATTAGTAGTAAAACAGTCAGAGTCTGTGATCAACCTTCCAGTGACTTCTGCGTGTTTGGGAAAGGCCATCATAGCACTTTTAGGCAAGCGTATGTATTCTTAACAGCTTCTAGCTTGATTGTGATTATCAGCCCACAGCCTCTGAAAGCAGGAATATTTGAGAGGATTCTGCAGCTGTTAAAGCATCCTGTTTTGTGTTTGTAACCCTTACAATTTTTTCTTATCTACTTAAAAAGCAAAATTGTAATGTAGAACATGGGCAGAAGCTTTGCATGCAAATGGATAATAATCTTATACATTCCTTTAGAGAGCTATTGTAGTCATTAAGACTTTGGTAAGGTTTACTTCTACACAGATAAGAAAATTGTAGCACACAGAGCAGAGGTTTGAAGCTCTGAGGGTAAAACTGTACCCAGAAAAAGAAATTGGGCAAGCTTTATGCCTTATTTAAAATCTCGTTTAAGGGCCATATGCACCTTGTTCTGGACTTCTCCCAGGCACGGATTTTACTTTACAGCAGCCAGTCTTCAATTCAGCGAAGTACTTAAGTGCATCCTGACGTGCTCTGCTGAATCAGGGTTTTAAGTGGAAATGACAGAAATAGAATTGAGATCTCCTCACTCATAGCCCTACTCTGAAACCACCAGGCAACGCTTCCTTTCTTCGTTACTCTCCCACTGCAGTATAGTACAAGTGTCTGAGACAGGCACGAGCTGTGCCCTAACCACCTGCCACGTTGCAGAACCCAAGCCACTCAGCTGAAATTTCAAAAGTATGAGCCAAGTAGCCAGCTCTAACAATTTCAAGACTTGAAATCTTTGTCCCTCAGTGCCTGGAGTCATTCAAGTACATTATTTAAACAAATGGTAGGATTCTCTTAGCTCTGATACAGCTCCCCTGCAGAAGGCCCGTACCTCTAAGTGACGTTTTTCCTCAGTATACATACGATACCCTTCCAGTGTACCAGCCCCCCAAAACAGTAGCCAGTTGAGCTTTTGTCTGTAAAATGTTAGTTTCAAGTTCTTGTTTCATTATGTTTTCTCTGTAATAAGAATTCCAGGCTGAAATAGAAAGCCTTAAAAATTACTTATTACTGTTTGTAATTCACCAGAGAAAGAAGTCATTAGTTGGATTCTTATTCTCTAGCTTGAACAGAATATGACTCCTGCCTCCCTTGAGTCTCTTTCATTGGTCTCAGGTAAGGTGAACTTTTTCAGCTTGTTTCTTGATCAAAAATTTTATAGAATGCATCAGCATGAAACAAGAGTAATGGATGACAACAGCAAATGAAGTTAACTAGGAATTAAGAATACTGTATGCAAAATACTGTTCTAAGGTGTTGTGGGTTAGGTTGAACCGCCCCCCACACAGAGCTGGGATCAGCCTAAAACCACGACATAAGGTGTGGAAAAAGCATCATTCTGTTACATGCTACCTAGGGAAGGGAATCTCTGCTTGCACTAATTATTTGCACAGCCATTTAATAGCTGTATTGCACCCTCATACAACCATCATTTTCCTTCTGCAGACTTGCCACCATTGCTCTGTGCTTGCAACTTTCTAGGAAACAAGCACCTAGCAAGTTGCTGCTTTGGCAGGCAGGTGGGAGGGAGAGAGGAAGAAGAAAGAATTGTTTGGTTTTCTTCTTGCTCATTTGCTCCTCCTCATTCTGACTTAAAAAAAAAAAAAAAAAAGATCAGTCTACCTGCACTGTTACCTAGGTTAAAGAAAACCAGTCCTTGCACACAAAGGTTTTAGGGAGTGCTCTGTATTGGAAATCCTGTTCGTCCTTTCACATGGTTTTAAAGACAATTTCTCCACCACTACCCCCCACCGATGGTGTACATTTGAAGCTACTTACGTAGTACCCTTCAAGGATTACCAGTTACTTTCAGTATCGTTAAGTTTGAGAAGGCTAGCAGTCTCCTTCATGTCCTGTACATTTAATTAAAAATCCATTTTTCTATTATGGCTTTCAACATAATAGAAAAATTTTCCACTTCTTTTCCTTTTGATGGTAGGACTGATTATTCCGCTACTCAGAAGTCTCTTTTAGGACAGAAAATGACTTTGTTGTATTGACTCACTTGGAACTCAGACGTTGTACAGAGGAAACTTTTTTCAATGACTGTCTTACAAGGACAACTTCACGTAAGTTTGCTCGCTTTATTACAATTAAAATAAGAAATCATAGTAGATCTCAAAATAAGTCTCTCTTCCCAATTTAGCTGCCTTAGGATCCTGCTGCTCCTAAAGTCTACTTTTCCAGACTAAGCTATGCAGTGGAGACACAGATTAAGGAACCATGTTATATACTGCTCCGCCTGCATTTTCCCTGATGATTTGATGCTGCTTGTTTCCCATCTGCGGGGCTTCCTCCAGTTACAACTTGAACGCTAACGTGACTCCATCCCCCATTGGGAGCATGCTGATATTGACTCGTGCATCTCTGAGAAGCTTCTCATTGAGGTGGTGGATGGTCTGGGCTCCCAAGTCATTCTTTCTTGGGTTTAGCACCCTTCCATGGAAAAAGACCTGTTGAAACAAGAAATGTCATGCACCTCACTTCTTCCAATATGTTCCCTGGACCACAAAGGAAGCTTTGGAAAAGGCCCTGCATATTTTCTAGAAATTGATCTTATTTATTGAGATTTCTAGTGGTCTCTGACATGGAGCTCTCATAAGCAAGTGGGATTGGGAGTCCACAGAATTGGCTAATTGTACTTCTACTGCAAATTAGAAGCCAAAATAAAAAAAAATGATGTGATTAAACACAGATATTTTTAAAAGCCCCAATTCAGCTGCCACCATAACCCTGAAGGTGCCTGAAGTTTAACATTATTCTTTGCTTCTAGTAAAAGTTATTATTTGGTAACTTACTAGTAGTCACTGATTAGAATTGCTATCTTTGGTCTTGCGTAAGTACTGAACGTAGTAGAAAATGCACTACAAGGCAAATCAGAATACAGAGCATTCTCTGTAATAAATTACAAAAAATTGGGTAAGGTTCTGTTATCACAGGCTGTTTATGTACTAATATAAATATAACATGTTATATTTATAACATACTCTTACTTCTATAGAGTTTTATTCCTTGCTTATATTAGTGTTCCATATACCTTACTTTAGGAATTTATGTTGAATTTTAAAAGCCTCCTTTGTACAACATGGAACAAACATGCTGCAATTGGCACATGAGTTGCAGGTCAGAAATCGCATTACTAGGATCCCACTGTGACTTTTTGTTTTTTCTTTTCCCAGAGGCAAAAGCAGTAACTCCCTGTGCTACTACCACTTCAACTGCAGTACTTACATTATCAATAGCTATTATTCCCCCTTTCTTTATGAGGCGCAAACATTTTTCATAGTACTCATTGTAGCTTTCTTTATCCGCATCAATGAAAGCAAAGTCAAAGGTTTCCGCTTCTCCACTGGCCAACAGTTCATCTAGATGAGCAACAAAGTGAGTCGTTACACCCTGGTTAATGCTGTGTAGGAGGAAGTCGACCATTTGTGTCAAAGTTCTCATTAAATAATGTTTTTGGTGCCTTGACCAGGCAGCCTATTCTTCTACAGCTAATTACTAGAAAAGCTTATTCCACAGAAACCAATCTAGACCTGATGTATGCCATAAAACACCCAGTTACTGAGTTCTGCCTACTTGGAAGCTCGTGGAGTAGTTCTAAACCTGCAGGATACAGCTGGGACTGCTGAAAGGTGCAGTAAAAACAAGTCAAGCAGATTGAAACTGAACACACTCTACACCTTCAGCTGCTTTTGAGCTGACTGAGGAGAACTGTTTTCTTAAGTGCATTAGGATTTTTCTCACATGTATGAACAGGTCCTAAATGCTAATCTCTCATTGATGATCAAGTGTCATTATACAGGTCACGAGCAAACCCTGTCAGAGATCTTTATCACAGCAAAATATTGCTGTTAAGTAGTCCCACTCTGGGACAAGGCAAGTGGAATTCAGTTTTAAGTTCCCCTAAATGGACTTCTTGACTGAACACTCCAAATCACCAGTTGCGGAGGGGCTGCCTTTCTAAGATTGTCGGCCACCCCTCTCACCTGCCCTTATCCTCTTTTCCTCTGAAGCACTGCCTAGACAAAGCTGTCCATCAGACTTCAAGGACAGTGCGTCCTAGCAGAGCGCTAGTATTTGTCTCTGTAGAAAGGATGGATGAATTTGGAAATACTACCAAGTTATGGATGGATCTGTGGATGCATCAAACACCTTTGCTGGAAACCTCCTTCTGCCTCCTCCTTTCCTAGGAAATTTCTTGCATTTTCAGAATATTATTAATATTCCCTCTGCCCCACATCTTCTCTTTTCTTGAACGAGAAAAGTCATTGCCTTTCTAATGGCCTTGCATCTGTTTGGGACATCCTAAATTTAAACTCCTCTGAACATAATTCAACCATTATACACTAAGTTTTATATTGGCTCTGTATTTTTTCTGCACCTCAGCCCTTTCAAACTCTGTCTATAACAAAGAAATACTTGCTTAGAATGGATAAGAGAAATTGGGCTTTGTCTAATTAATCTGTTTTAATCAGCCTTCCCAGAAGCAGATGACAATAGTACTTCCCAGATTACACATGGCAATGGACAGGACAGGTGAGTGACCAGTACAGCTCATTACACAGGACAAGCATTTTCATACTTTTTGTCAGCATGAACTTCCAAAGTGTGAAGTTTTGTGGGTTTTTTGGTTGCGGTGTGCAGTGTGGGTGTTTTTTGGTTTTTTTTTTAAATATAAAAGAAGCTGTCTCGCTGTTAGTGAAGGGATCACATCCACAAGCATATTTGGTCTTAGATTTCATCAGTGTTATACCCATCTTCTATTTATAGGGAAGAGGTAAAAACAGTATTTTAGGTTACTTACCAAGTGTTTCAATTGCTGGCTTAATCCGCAGGTCAATTTTATGCTCTACTCCTGCCTAGAATGAAAATGAACAAAGAGCTGATGAAAGTGGCCAAGAAATAACCTGTTAGTAGGTTGCACTCAGGGAGTGACTTGGTGTTCAGATATTTTTCCTATTATTTCTAGGTTCCAGACAGCACTCACTTCTCTTTCCAAATCGAACTGTCTCAGTCTCCATTATGATATGAAAGCTTGTGTGTGAATGTGCAAGTCTAAGATACCAAAAGCCCTTGACATGCAAATGCAGCTGTCCCAAACATGTAACAGAAGAGATGCTGCTTACCTCCTTCCACAGTGGCTTTCCAATTTTGGCATAGTCCTCATTTATATCACAGGCAATAACTCTGCCATTATCTGGCAGGGCAAGCGCCATATTCAAGGCATTATAACCTGTAAAAACACCTAGGAAAATCATAAGAATCATCAACACTTACTATATTGTGGAGGGGGAAAAAAAAAAAAAAGATTAATAGTGAACTACAGGGCTCCTTTCAGGAATAAAACCCCCGAAGGAGTAAAAGATGGCAATCTGTCAATGGACACAATGTTCTCCCCTCCATTTTAATGTAATGGTGGGTTGGGAGAATTTGAACTTTTTTTTCAAATCAGTCTTTTAGCAAAGCTTAATGTTGGCCTTTTCTAAAAGTATCCTGGATACACAGGGCACAGTCTGGTCCTACATCTCTGAGGAACACTCCTATTTAAAAGTGGAGCTAAATCCTGAGCCAAAGGAACTGGACCAGCAGTAAAATACCAGGGCATTGTAACAGTCAGGTCAAGAATGAAGATGGCGGGAACCCTGACCTGGCTGCTCAGCATCAGTCTGTCTTCGGGACATCTTGCTAACATAGGTGCATCAAGGAAAGTGAATTGGATGCAGGGCCTCTGCAGCACAACACTTCCTTCTGGCAAGAAACTGATACAGGAAGGAAATAATACACCCTGTCCTGCAACTGCTGGAGACCCAAGTGATCTGCTGATCTTACTTTTTCAGATCGCTTCTGAGTTGATGAGATACCCCTGCTCACGACAGAACACTGAATGCATGGGTAGACTAAGTGACAAGTAAGTGCAAATCGGACACTGCTTGTCATGCTGTAGTTTGCCCACCTGTTTGCATAGAGAGGTATGCAGGGCCTTACTATGTTTAGTTATCTTATCTTGTAAACATGGCTGTATTTGGAGAAGCATAGCCAGGACCTTTGTTCTACTACAGAAAGAACAAAGTGACACTCTTACCTATTTCAATAACTTTCTTGGCTTTAATGAGTTTGACCAAATTTGCCATAAGCTGTGCCTGGTCACAGGACACCATTATCATACCCCAGGGATGATCAGTGGTGAGCTAGAAAAAGGGAAAAAAAAACCAACACATCACAACAAACAAGACCCAAAGCTTCCAGAAAACCCCAGGAAAAACAGATACTCCTATCTTTCTCATTTTGGATGACTTGTGCTCCATCTATGAGCCAGAAAGTGGTTTGAATTTAACAGTAACTAAGGAGGGCAGGATGTGTGTCATAAGCAGTGGTTAATCATTCAAAGCAGTAATATAGCCCGAAGTTACTATGGCTATGGCAAACTCAGCAATAGTTATAACTGATGAAAAAACACAGAAGAACCTTGACTGTGAAAATCCTTTATTTCTGCGTATTTACATAAATAGAAGCACTTTTAAAAAATTTAAACTATAACTTTTATACTTATGCCCTTATTCCTCCAAGACATGTAAGACAGTTTTTATGACTTGCTAGGTTCAAGTCTGTTGCCAAAGGTCACACCATGTGGTTCTGGCTACACAGCACAGAGCTGGAGAAGCTGTGCCCATGCCAGGGTGGAAGGGTCCCTGGCACCAAGGAGGCAGCAGTAGGAAAAGCAGGGCTGTGCCGTGGCTGTTGAATGGAAACGATGGTCCACCCACTTCCTTTCTTCCTCTAGGGCTCACTCCAACCAACCAGCTCCAGTACTTCACACTTAATTGCTTTTATACAGGAGTAGTTTGTCTTACTTGACTCAAGCCTGAGTCAGGAGGTCTGTTCTGAGGTGTGCTGGAGGACAGCACCTCTCTGAGCTACAGTCTCCTTACATGCCAACTAAAACGAACAGGAGTCATCTGTCCAAGTCAAAATCAAGTGCAGATCATGCACATGAGCTTGGGAGCCATGGATAAAAAGACATGTCTAAAACGTACACCAATACTATTAAATACTCACTTAAGCAGCCTTGAACGTTGTAGAGTCCAGGTATTACCAGTTCAAAACAAATTCTAATGTGTATGCAAACAAGATGGAGGAAGGAATATCACAGAGAGTCCAGTTCAGGATGAGGTGTGGGTGACAGCAAAAGGCCCTAGAGGACCAGTAACAGCACTGAACAGAAAATCTGTGTTAGGGGATAAAATACTGACCAGCCGCAGCTTCTTTAGAATTGGATGTTCCCGCAAAGAGTGATCCAGCATGTACTGCCAGAGAGGACTGCCTTTCCCAATAGTATTCTTGGATGATCTGGATGCCCAAAAAACTAAAAAAGGGTACCTTCTACCTACAAAAAACATAAGGAATAGTAAGAACTTTTATCTTTTTCAGTTATTGCCTACTTAAATAAAGCAAGCATTAAGTAGTACTAAAGATTAAGAGAGCTCTTTGCTCTGAAAAATCCAGTGAAAAAGGAAAATGCAACATAGCTAGACAGCTCAGCAGACTGTATTTTTTTTTTCCTCCTTCTTTTTAACCTCTATGATATCCAGCCCAGGTCTGCAAAGGCTGAAACGGAAAGGCTTGTTCAGTGGTCACTGTGAAGGACCTGTAACCACATTAAAACTCAAAGGGCAAGTCTGAGGACAGAAGCATGAATGAGGCACACTATCTTCTTAGTCTTGAGACTTTGTTTTGCAGATGGATAGAGGCTGCTGGTCTTTAAGGCCGTCGGCTCACACATCTTCTCAAGCCCTGAGTTGTTCTAGTGCCAGTGTCCTGCCCTCTAGCCAGGGGTAATCTGGCATTGCTCAACGGGGTGTTTAGCATGAAAGCAGTATGCAAAAAAGTTTAGGTGCTGAAAGCTGAAGTTTAAGGACTACTGCTTGTCTACTTAAATATGGGACCGATCTCAGCTTGGATGCCCAGTGCTTCTTTTCTCAAATGGGGCAAATAATTTAAAGGCATAACAACAACAAAAAAATATCAGTTGCACATCTCCTGATGGTTGTTTGCTATTAAAGAACACTTTCACTCCGAGGTTTTTATTTCATTTTCTGTTAACAGCTCTATTTCACAGACGATCACGCTGAGGCGCAGATCATTTCAGCAACCTGCCTGAAGTCAAAGGGCAAGTACGCGGCTGCGTTATGGACCCAGCCCCTGCCGCCTCCACCGCCT